GATCACCCCCAGCGCTCTGCTTCTGCTGAGGCAGCCCTCCAGTCCCTCCAGCAAGGCCGTAGAGCGATTGCAGACTTTGTAACTGAATTCAGATGCTGGAGCTCTGATACTAACTGGAATGATGCTGTCTTGCACATTCCTTCTGGGTCTCTCTGATCCTTTAAAAGACAACCAACTAGAGTGGGGGTACCAAGTTCTCTGGAAGAACTGACTGACTTATCCATTCAAATCGACCAGCTACTCAGAGAATAACGACTACAGAGATCTATTGGTCTGGCTCGCCCCGTATTGATGTAGCCTAAGGTGTCACCTCCAGTTGCTCCTGCTTTCTCTGGTCCAGTTTCACCTGTAGTTCATGAGCCCAAATCTACACACCTCACTTACTCCTGAAGAACGTCAACATCGTAGTCTGCACAACTTGTGCCTCTACTGTGGTGAAGAAGGTCATTATGTGCACAACTGTCCAGCCAAGCTCTGTAAGTTCCTGTCCATTTCCTTTATCAATAGGCCTTCAGTAGCATTGGACTCCATGCAAGTAACTCTTCCCATATCATTTCAGCTCCCGGGAAGGGCAAGTCTGCCATAATTGACTCTGGAGCCTGCAGCTGTTTCATTGACCTATCTTTTGCTGCACAACACCATATTTGTTTGCAAGAACTTTCTGCATATCTGGCTGATGGGTCCAACATCAAGTCTGGGACTGTTACCCATGAAACCACCCCTCTGCCAGTATCTACCTCCTTTTCTAACCACAAGGAACTGTTGTGTCTTGATGCTATCTTCTCTCTGCTGTACTGTGTTATACTGGGCCCATGGTGCCATGGTTGCAGGTCCGCAACTCTTGCATCAACTGGACCACTGGAGAGGTGAACTTTCAATCCTCCTATTGCCAGGAACATTGTTCACCCAAGATCTTGATTCGGGCCTCAGCACTGTTGTGCATGGACAATGACAAACAGCTGCGTCAAGTGGTTCCAAGGGCCTACCACAACTTTCTGGATGTCTTTAGCAAGCAAGGGGTTGACACTCCACCACTGCACAGGCCCTATGACTGCCCTGTTGAGTTGCTGGCTGGGTCCGAAATCCTATTTGGACAAATTTTCCCTGTTTCTGAGCATGAACTGAGCGTGAAGCATTGAAAGAATATCGGGATGACAGCCTTAACAAGGGATTCATCCAGCCTTCTATCTCTCCAACAGGGGCCGGAATGTCCTTTGTGAAGAATAAAGAGAGCATTCTCTCTGACCTTGTGTGGATTACCATGAGTTAAACAAAAAAATTACTGTGAAAAACTGATATCCCCTTTCGTTAATTCCTGAGTTATTCCAAAGACTCATATCTGCTTCAATCTTTACCAAGCTGGACTTGCAGGGAGCCTACAATCTAGTGCAAATCCAGGAGAGGGATGAATGTAAGACTTCCTTCCGCACACTCTTTGGCAACTTTGAATACCTGGTAATGCCTTTTGGATTATGTAATGTACCAGCAACATTTCAATACTTTGTCAATGACAGCCTTAAAGACTTCTTAGACATTTTTTTTTATCGTATACATAGATGACAACTTAATCTTTTCTGTTTCCATGGAACTCCACCATACACATGTTCAAACGGTTCTTGAGCGGCTTAGGCAACATGGACTGTATGCAAAACTGAGCAGCATTCAGTTCCTAGAATTATTTCCTCAGAAGGCATCAAGACGGATCTACAAAAAGTTTCCACCATCTTGGAGTTGCCTGCACCCATGGATAAGAAAGGAGTACAGCGCTTCGTATGATTCTCAAACTTCTACCAGAAATGTATTAAAGGATTCTCTGCAATCATTACACCCATTACTCAGCTAACCAAGGGGTCTTGCAGGACCCCGGAAGCCAACCCTAAGTCATCCTGATCCTGCTCTTCTCTACAGTTTGGCGGTCGACACCTCGTAGAACATGGTAGGAGCAGTTCTGTCACAGCGTCAAGGGCTAAAAACTGTTCTTCATCCAGTAGCGTTCTTCTCACACAAACTCTCCCCCACTGAGAAAAACTAGGACATGGTGGACCACAAATTGCTGGCGATCAACTCTGCTCTGGAAGAGTGGAGATATCTCTTGGAGGGATCTGCACATCCCATTCTGATCTTCACAGATCATAAGAACTTAGGAGTATTTGAAAACAGCCATGCGAGTGAAACTACGTCAGGGCAGGTAGGCACTTTTTTTTCTAGATTTATATGTATTCCATATAACATATAGACTCGGGTTGAAAAATGTCAAAACAGATGCACTGTCATGAATGTTTGATGATTCTAAACGTTCCCCTTTTTCTGATACCATTTTGACAGCTGTAAATTTTTTACTATTACAGGCAGATCTTTTGTCTCACATGAATCAGTTGCCTCCGCCCTATACTGTAGCAGTTTTACTGCTACAGGGTGGACTCCCTGCAAAAAATCATGTATATAACTGTGATCCGTGTTCCTGCCATGTTCACGGACTGCGGGCGCATGTGCCGGCCTGGCGGTGCTGTGGTTCGGTACAGCACCAATCACTCAGCAGATTCAGGCACAGCATCAATCACTCAGCAGATTTAGGCCAGTGATGTTTGTATTGGACCTGCTGATTGACTGTACCCAATCAGAGCTCAGCCTGTGCTTACATTATATTTGTGGGGGGATTGTGCTATCCTGTAATTTCAGAGCCTCTGAAACTGTGATAGGTAGTGAGGAAGTGAAATGAGGAATGTACGCACCATCAGGCTTTCAAAGGGTTCATTGGATTTTGGGCTCCTGTATGCGGCTAGGCTTCCAAAAAGACTGACACATGTAATATCCCCACACTCAGGAGAAGTAGCAGAATATATTTTGAGGTGTAATTCCAAATATACCCATGGCATGTGTCAGTAGTATACCATTTAAATGACAACTTTGTGCAAAAAAAGAAAAAAAAACTTGTGAAAGATTAAATCTTCCACAGACTCAACGTGCCTCTCTGCAGATAGTGTAGGGTGTCTACTTTCTGCAAAAGGGTCATTTGGGTGTGTTTGTACTGCCCTGGCATTTTAGCACCTCAATAAATGTGAAAGGCAGTCAAAGTAAAAGCTGTGTAAATTTCAGTATCTACACCATACTTTGTAGACACTATAACTTTCACATAAACCAATTAATATACACTTATTGGGATTTATTTTACCAAAGACATGTAGCAAAATACATTTTGGCCTACATTTATGACAAAATTTGAGTTTATTGGATATTTTTTATAACAGAAATGAGGAAATATTGTTTTTTTTTTAAACTGTTCAGTCTTTTTTTGTTCATAGCGCAAAAACCCAGTGATTGACAGCTGCGGCCGCGAATGGTGGTGCGGGTAGGGCGCGTGCTCCCTACCCAGAAATGCAAAATCACACACACACACACATATATATATATATATATATATATATATATATATATATATACACACACATGATTTTGCGTACCCCTGCCGCCCTGTAGAAGTATATCTGCTATAGGGCGGCGGGAAAGCAGTTAAGCAGGCCTCAGCTAGATTTTTTTCCTCACCAGGAGTATCGCTGATGGCTAGAGAATGGTTAACCATGGTCCAGGGATAAAATATTTGTACCCAAAGGTGCCCAAGTGGCTGTGTTTTAACTGTGTCATGATCCCCCACTAGCAGGCCACTTTGAGATTCATAAGACCTCTGATTTGATACAACGTCTGTTCTGGTGTCCTGACATGGAAAAAAAAACTGCAAAGCCTATGTGAACTCCTGTGTCACCTGCAATCGCAACAAGAGCGGCAAGAATAATAGAAATAAAGATTGGGGAGTACTCAGCCTCTTCTGATTCCTGATAAACCCTGGAAAATGATTGCCATTGATTTTATTGTGGAACTTCCGCCATCTAAAGTTGTGGTTGGATTGATTTTCCAAAATGAGTAACTTTCTGCCTTTGAAAGGTGCTCCCACTGCACTAGAAACAGCCCAAGTGTTTGTGAAACAAATTGTAAGACTTCATGGCACTCATGCCAACATTGTCTCAGAATATGGAGTCCAGTTTACATCCAGATTCTGGAAGGCACTCTGCGAAATCTTAAAAATGTAACTCTTTCTTTTCTGCATATCATCCACAGACCAATGGGCAAAACAGAGAGAACGGATCAGACTCCAGAACAATACATCCGTTGCTTACAATGTTCTCCCTCATTCGAGATGATTGTGTACCCTCATCACCTCTAGCTGAATTTGCATATAATAATGCAACACATTCCGTTACCAAACAGTCCCCTTTCTTTGCAAATAATGGGTTCCATCCATCATTCTCATCCAATGACTTGCCTGAATCTTCTATTTCAGTTGTCCAAGACTGTTAGGAATGGACTTGCCAGTAGTGGTGGGACTCACCTGCCTTGTGGGCTGCAGTACCAGGGCTGGCCAGCGGGTGCTCCCAGCAATCAGAGACTCAATCCTGCAGCCAGCCAAACACCTGAAACTGCTTAGGCAGGTGTATTTAAGTGATGGCCAGACCTGCAGGCCTTGCCTTGGTGTGTGTGTTTCTCCTGGGCCCTGTATCCTGTTCCTGCATCCCTGTTCCTGTTCCTGTCTGATTCGTTGCTGACCCTGCTCTGATCCCCGGCTTTGTCTGACCATTCTCCTGTTCTGATCCCTGGCTTTGTCTGACCATTCTCCTGCTCTGATCCCTGGCTTTGTCCGACCATTCTCCTGCTTAACCCCATACGTTCTGACCTCCTGTTGATGATCCCGGCCTGCCTGACGACGCTTGCATTGTATGTTTTGTTATCTGTGGGTGGTTTGGTTCGTTTGCACTGTGTTATGTTTTAGTATTGCACTGCGTTTATGTATTGTTAGTGTTAATAAATTATATTGTTTATATCATATCTGGAGTCTGCGTTTCCCTGCGTCAGTCACATACCTCTGGTCATACCCTGGAGCCCTGACATTACACCAAGGCCAATCCTGACCAGAAGTGGCTGCACAGGGAAGCCATCTTGGTTTGTTGATGGGAAGGATGGATCTTGATGAGGTTGTGTATTTATATCTGCTAGTGTTTGATGACAGAGAATATGCTTATCAGACTCAGAAGGAGTATCCCAGGGATGATCTGCTAGAATGTATACGGATCGCTCATGTTCTAGTAGATCAGGGCACAGAATTCTCTGAGGTGCAGCCATTGATTCAGGTTTGTGCGGAGTTGGTTTCATCTGGTACCCCCCCGAATGCAGGGATGAATTTTTGCCACCATTTAGTGCCGACCAGGTAGAGTCCCTGGTATGGTTATTAGAGGATGATGTGGATTACTTTCTGGAGCGTTATTCTGCATGTTCACTACAGATACTAAGAGATTGTATAAACGCAGTGCAGTCTTTGGTCAGACAGGCTTTGTGTAAGCTCAGCTTTGTTCAACCCATACTGCAGTCATGGACAGATTTGTTGCACCCAGCCTCAGTCAGCTTGCAAAAACCCAGTCCTGCTTCTAATCTATTTCCTCAAAGCTCTATTCCTGCATTCCCAACAGCTCCTCCTGCCCTGCTATCTACCGCATGTCAGTACCCTGTTCCCACTCGCTGCACCTATCCTGCCTTTAACCCTGTAAAGAAGTCCTCTGTAGCAACTGTTCACTCCCCTGTTCCATCCTCCAGCTCTTCTCCGTCTCCAGCTGCTCCATTCGTTTGCAGACCTGCGTTTGCTTGCAGTGCCCCAGTAGTTAAAACCAGAAAAAAGCGAAAATTCTTTCCAACCAGTACCATCCTGCCAGTATCCAAACCGGTCAGCCTGCCGTCTGAGAACCGGCCTTCCGTGGTTCAGCCTGGTGCCTCGGCACCCACACTTCAACCTGATGTCTGTACCCAGCCTGATGCCTCTACCCAGCCTGATGCCTCCATTCGGCCTGATGCCTCCATTCGGCCTGATGCCTCTACCCGGCCCGATGCCTCTACCCGGCCCGATGCCTCTACCCGGCCCGATGCCTCTACCCGGCCCGATGCCTCTACCCGGCCCGATGCCTCTATTCGGCCCGATGCCTCTATTCGGCCCGATGCCTCTATTCGGCCCGATGCCTCTATTCGGCCCGTTGCCTCTATTCAGCCTGATGCCTCCATTCAGCCTGCTGCCTCTACCCAGCATGATGTTTCTACCCAGCCTGATGAACTGATCCAGCCTGATGATCCTATTAGGCCAGTTGACTCGATGCCCGCTGTCGAGCCAGACGATCCGGTACCTGATGACCCGGTGCCCGTTGTCGTGCCAATTGACTCAGAGCCCGCTGTCGTGCCTGGTGACTCGGTGCCCACTGCCTTGCCAGGTGACGCGGTGCCCGCGGGCGAGCCAAATGACCTGATGCCTGGTGGTGACCCAGTGCCCGCTGTCATACCTGGGGCCCCGATGCCCGCTGTCGAGCCAGACAATCCAATGCCTGATGACCCAGTGCCCGCGGTCATGCCTGGTGATCCGATGCCCGCTGTCGAGCCAGACGATCCAGCGCCAGATGACCCGGTGCCTGCTGTCGAGCCAGACGATGCGGTACCTGATGACCCGGTGCCCGCTGTCGTGCCAATTGACTCAGAGCCCACTGTCGTGCCTGGTGACTTGGTGCCCACTGCCTTGCCAGATGACGCGGTGCCCGCTGTCGAGCCAGGTGACCTGATGCCTGGTGACCCGATGCCTGCTGTCCGGCCGGACGGTCCAATGTCTGACCCAGTGCCCGCGGTCATGCCAGTTGACTTGGAGCCCACTGTCGTTCCTGGTGATCCGGCGCCCGTCGCTCCGCCTGGGGGCCCGAGACCTGTCGCTCCGCCTGGGGGTCCGGCGCCCGCCTCTCCGCCTGGGGGTCCGAGACCCATCGCTCCGCCTGGGGGCCCGGCGCCCACCGCTCCACCTGGGGGCCCGGCACCCGCCGCCCTGCCTGGGGGCCCGATGCCCGTCGCCCCGCCTGGGGGCCCGATGCCCGTCGCCCCGCCTGGGGGCCCGGTGCCTGCTGCTCCGCATGGTGGCCCGGTGCCTGCTGCTTCGCCTGGTGATCCGATGTTCCTCTGCCCGGAGTCCTGCCCGATGTGCCGCTGCCCGGAGTCCTGCCCGATGTGCCGCTGCCCGGAGTCCTGCCCGATGTGCCGCTGCCCGGAGTCCTGCCCGATGTGCCGCTGCCCGATGTGCCGCTGCCCGGAGTCCTGCCCGATGTGCCGCTGCCCGGAGTCCTGCCCGATGTGCCGCTGCCCGAGTCCTGCCCGATGTGCCGCTGCCCGATGTGCTGCTGCCCGGAGTCCTGCCCGATGTGCCGCTGCCCGCAGTCCTGCCCAATGTGCCGCTGCCCGGTGTGCCGTTGCCCAGAGTCCTGCCCGGTGTGCCAGTCTTTGATATCCCGCCAGTTACCAGACCCGGGCGGTGGAACATTTTGCCCAGCTAGAACTGTTTGGAGCGTCCTGAGGCCGCTCCTTGAGGGGGGGGGTACTGTTAGGAATGGACTTGCCAGTAGTGGTGGGACTCACCTGCCTTGTGGGCTGCAGTACCAGGGCTGGCCAGCGGGTGCTCCCAGCAATCAGAGACTCAATCCTGCAGCCAGCCAAACACCTGAAACTGCTTAGGCAGGTGTATTTAAGTGATTGCCAGACCTGCAGGCCTTGCCTTGGTGTGTGTGTTTCTCCTGGGCCCTGTATCCTGTTCCTGCATCCCTGTTCCTGTTCCTGTCTGATTCGTTGCTGACCCTGCTCTGATCCCTGGCTTTGTCTGACCATTCTCCTGCTCTGATCCCTGGCTTTGTCTGACCATTCTCCTGCTTAACCCCATACGTTCTGACCTCCTGTTGATGATCCCGGCCTGCCTGACGACGCTTGCATTGTATGTTTTGTTATCTGTGGGTGGTTTGGTTCGTTTGCACTGTGTTATGTTTTAGTATTGCACTGCGTTTATGTATTGTTAGTGTTAATAAATTATATTGTTTATATCATATCTGGAGTCTGCATTTCCCTGTTTCAGTCACATACCTCTGGTCATACCCTGGAGCCCTGACAAAGACACCTTGAACTTCTTCCAGTAAAACAACAACAAGGTCCTGCAGGAAACAATAGCCAAATCGGATAGAGATGACCCTGAATCCTGGCAAACAGATATGGCTTTCTACTGTCAACCTAAGATTGGAATGCCCCACAAAGAAATTGGGTCCTAGGTTTTTGGGTCCTTTTTCTGTCTGGATTGCAGGTGGAGAAGGAAATCGTTACAGTACTTGATTAAGTGGAAAGGGTAATGGGCAGAAGAGAATTCTTGGAAACTAGATTCCAATGTACATGCTGAGAGTTAATTCAATCTTTCTTTTACAGACATCCTGTAAAGATAGGTCCAGTTGGGCATCCCGGAGGCTGCCCATAGGAGGGAGCAATGTCCGGAAAGGTGCACTCCATGGGCGCAGAACATTATTTTGCGGCTGGCTCTCAAGTGCGCATGCGCAGGAGCAACAATGGGTGCTGAGCATGCACATACACTAGGTGGGCTATTTAAAACTGCACTATGACCTGAGGTCCTTGTTGTTTTTGGTCTATTACGTTCCATAAAGGTATCTGATACCTGTTCCTGTGTTGACTTCCTGTTACCAACTTGATCCTGCTCCTGACCCTTCCTGAATGCTGCCTGTACCAACCCTGGCTTGTCTTTGGAGTTTTCTGCCTGATCCTTTTTTTTTATCTGTCCATTGCAAAACTGTTACCGACCCTGGCCTGACCCTGACTATTCTTCTGCCTGCTTGTATTGTACCTTTGATTTGCCTTCAGTTGCGACCCGGAATGCCTGAATCAGCTCTCCTGCGCATCAGAACCTGCCTAACCTGTTCCTACCTCCTGCTCCGGGCTCACAGCCTGCTCGTCAGCCATGCACCTGCTGCTCATCGGCAATGCATACACTAGCTCTCCAGTAGAGATGAGCGAAGTATTCTCAAAATTCGATTCGGCTGATTCAGGCGAATTCGAGGAATAAATTTGATTTGAGGCGAATATATTCGCTGCGAATTTAACTTATAAAAGGGTGTTTCTAGGCTTCAGAGAGCCTTTATATTAGTGCAGAACACTGTACCTTTAATTTAAATGCCCTTGGGAGTCTGCTGGGGAAGAGAAATAATATGTCAGTCAGTATGACATGCAGATGAGTGCCGTCGATCTTAGAATCACCGCACACTTCACTCATTTGGGCAGTCCACGGGCCAAAACCAGAGTGTGGAGCCACAGTGTGGCGGTGGAGGACAGCAGCAATGGGAGGCCATACAGCACCCCCTATGACAAAAATGGAACCCACCAGCCAGTGTGAGGAGACCTGAAAGTGGCACATGGCCAGAGTGTGGCGAATGGAGACAGCAGCAATGGAGGCCGTACAGGGACCCATGACACACTCTGTACCTGGCAGCAGCATGAGGAGGCGGTACAGGGGCCCATGGCAGATTACGGGCCTGGGCAGCAGCGCAATGGGAGGTGCCCGGTAATCTGCCAGCAACCCTATGACAAAATGGAACCCACCCAGCAGTGTGAGGAGAGACCTGAAAGTGGCACAACATGTTTTCGGTCCATTGATTCATGGCGGATTTAGTCAGTTGTGTCAGGAACTGGTGGGTTTGAAATCCAGACTAATCCACGCCTTTGAAACTTCATTTCACAAACTGTGAGTCTCTCCCACACTTTGGGTGGACAGTCGTGTCCTCCGCGGAGTTACAATACCTCCTGCCGCACTAACACACATGCGCTCCGATGCAACATCCGATGGACACGCTACTGGCCGGGCAAGACAGCCTTTCAAGGCAAATTCAGCTAGTTGGGGCCAAAGGTCAAGTTTCGATAGCCCAGATAGTCAAGGGGATTGTCCTACCTCGGTTGGCAGGGTGCTGTCCAAGTAGGCCAAGCCTGTTGTTTTGAGGTCCTGCTCAGGTCCACCTGATGCTGCTGCTGCTGCCGGCTGGTTAGTAGTTTCCTCACTGCGCTGGTGAAGAAAGCTACTCATCATCGACTGCAGACTGAGGCGAGCCGCTGCAGGTGGAGTCTGCCACAGCTCCTGCCACCCCCACCCCTTCCCCTGCTGCATGGCAGCGGGAACGCGAGCGCACAGGGCCCAACCCAGATGAGTCTGAGGATGGACCGTTGGTGCAGAAAGGCAGAGACCAACAGACACATAGGTGGTTTTTAATAGTACTTTATTTGAGGCCCTCCTCTCAGCAGGTGTGAAAAAGGCCACCATTTTTGAACGGTAGCGAGGGTCCAAGTAGACACAAGGTGGACAGCCAAAAGAATCATCCCTCCATGTCTGATGGTTATTATTCGGCTGTCGCTACGCAAGCAACCGAGCATGCTATGGGCCAATTTGTGCCAAGGAACTGCGAGGGACTCCCTGCCTCCATCTCCACAGCATACTGCCACGGTGCATCTGGAGGTCCTCTGTCTCCTCTCCCTCCTCCTCCTCTAGCAGATGCTCCTGCTCCTCCACTCCTGTCCGCTGGAGTGGAAAATACCACCCATTTCACTCATAATTCTGAGCACACCAATGTCCCTCACTATACCTCCTCCCTTCTACCTGTCCCTGCCTCCACAGGGGTCATGTGGCGTTGTGATCTGTGCGCCACGTCTACCGCACCCTGACCAGCCATTGTTAACAGCAATTTTGTTCCAGGACGTGCAACAGAGGAATGACGTCGTTCATCCCATAGTCCCTGCGACTCACGAAATAGCGTGGCCTCCTCAAAGGGCCTGAGCAAGCGCAGGTGCTCACGCAAGAGCTGCCAGAAATGGCTGACATCTAAGTTACACAGGAGTACCTTTATCCGCTTGTACATCAGGAAATAGGTGATGGCCTTTCGCTGTTCGCGGTCAAAAGGCCACTTGTTGCTAACATATGAGGCGGTCACGGGGTTGAATTCCACCTATGTTGCAGACCTGAAAGTGGCACATGGCGTCACGACAGCAGCAATGAGGAGGGACGGTACGTGGACCTGCCCATGGGAGTCGGTAACGCGCGGGCCCAAGGCAGATTACGGGCCTGGCAGCAGCAAATGGGAGGCCGCGAAATCTGACAGCACCCTATGACAAAATGGAACACAACCACCAGCACAGTGGTGAGGCGTACTCGGAAAGGTGGCACATGGCAGAGTGTGTGCCTATGGAGACCACGCAGCAATTGGGCAGGCCGTACAGGGACCAAAGAGAGAGCCTGGACC